AGCTCTCTAGAACGTTCAAAGCACTCAGCCCCCTCCCCTTACAGGCCAGCTCCTTCCCACCCAGACTACATGTGACTGGACAGGTCGAGTGCCCCTTCCCTCAGTCCCTTCTTGCTGTTGTGGAAGGAACTCAAGAGTGCGAAGATCCCACAGTGGGGAAAAGAGGGAGGCATGTTGCCTGCACAGAAGACCATTCAAATGAACAACAGTTACAGGTAACTTATCAGCAGGTACAGGTTCATCTTCGTGGCTTCTGTGCAGTCCCACCCAGAAGAAAAGCAAGCTAACATTGGCAGGAGGTGGAATGCATCCCTCTGGAATCAATGTCAACTGCATAGTGCTTGATGAATGTCAACAGGGAGGACCAAGTGGCTGCCTTGCAGATGCTGTCCAAGGGGATGCTGCCAAAGAAGGCTGCAGAGGAAGACTGAGACCTGGCCGAGTGAGCCCTGAGATGGAGTGGGCGATCAACCTTGGAGGCAGAGTGCTCAAACTGGATGGCTTTGACAACCCAGGATGGGATGGTTTGGGAGGAGGCTGCCTGGCCTTTGCAGGGGCAAGCAAAACAGACCAGCTGGTTGTCCTCCTTCCACAAGGATGTGTTACGGTCTAAATAAAAAAGCAGTGACCTATGAACATCTAATGCAAGTAGGGTTCATTCCTTGTCCAATATAGGAGAGGGGGAAAACACTGGCAGAATAAAACCTTTGGAAGAAAGGCCAGACTAGGGCAGAGAACAGCCTTATCCGGGTGAAACCTGGTAAAGGGTGGGGAAGACTGCAAAGCCCTGAGTTCTCCTACTCTTTGGGCACAGGTAATTGCAAGAAGGAAGGCTACCTTACAGGAGGGGAAGGACAAGTCACATGTGGCAAGGGGCTCAAAGGGCTTAAATATTAACACAGAGAACACCAATGAAAGACTCCACTGGACAGGAGGGGGCACCGGAGGGTGTAAGTTAAATAAATCCTTGAGAAATTTTTGGAAATCGGGACCAAAAAACCCAGAAAACCCCACAATAGGGTTGTGGAAGGCTGAAATGGCCAAAAGAGGTAACTGCCCAGGAGGAATACTTGGACCATTTTGCAGCATAACTTGTGCCACTCTATCCGACCACTCTAGTGATCGTGTATCAGTCAGGCGGTTAGGTGCAGGGTCTGGACATCGTGGTGAAGGAGAGGCCCTATACAGAGCAGGTCTGAGACTATGGGGAGAGATACATAGCGGCCTCAACAAAGAAACCACAGTGTTGGAAACCACACCGCTTTGGGCCAGAAAGGTACAATCAGAATGCAGCAGGACGTCCTCTCAAATCTTGGCAAGGATCCTCCCTAGCAAGGGGATCAGGGGAAAGGCATAGAATAGGGTTCCTTGCCATGTCAGTTGGAAGGCATCCCCTAGGGAATGGGTATCTGCCTGTGCCCGTGAGCTGAACTGGGCACTCGATGTTTGAAGAAGAGGCAAACAGGTCCACATGGGGCTGCCCCCATCGGCGGACTAGGGGAAATAGATAATCATCCTTGAGAGACCATTCAAGTGTAGACACGTTGCCTCTGCTGAAAGTGTCTGCTGTCCCATTTGCCACCCCAGCGATTTGGATAGCCTCCAAGGCAACGGTGTGCTGGATGGCCCAGTGCCAAAGGAGAGGAGCTTCCAAACAGAGGGAGGGAATCAGTATTTCCCTGATAGTTTATGTAGAACTTTGTTGTAGTATTGTCTATGGCTATTAGTACTCTCTTCCCAGACACTAAGGCTGTAAAAGAAATCAAAGTATATCTGACTGCCCTGAGCTCCAGAAGATTAATATGCATGCCTGTTGAGAAGGGCATGCCCACTGGCCCTAGAGAGCCACAGGTTGCCCCCACCCCAGCACAAAAGGGATGCATTCGTGAAAATCTGAACACTGTGGGAGGTCATCCGAAACAGGGATCTTGTCAGCAGGTTCTCCCAAGACAACCACCGCCCTAGGGAATAGACTACAGCTCTAGGAATAGACAATTTCCTCCAGGGGGCGTCTGACTGCATGTTGGCAGATCTGAGGAACCAGTTCTGAAGGGGGCCTCATGAATAATCGGGTAAAGGGGACGACAGCAGTAGTGGAAGCCATGAGGCCTAGAAGTCTCTGCATGGGCTTAATAGACTGAAATCTATCGGAGACAAACCTCTGAACCATTGCTCGTACGGAAGCTGCCTGATTCTGAAGAAGAAAAGCCTTGCCACTATTGGAGTTGAATAGGATGGACTGAGTTGGATATAGGATGCATTTATCTCAATTAATCTGGAGGCCCAGATAAGTTAGGGTGGAAATAGCTAGGGCAACGTGATCAGCTAGTAGATCAGGAGAGAGTGTGGTAAAAAGCCAACAATCCAAGTAGGGGTAGCCCATTAAGCATAGGTGAGTGACTATTGTGGACATAAACTTGGTCAACACTCTGAGCAGTGGCCAAGCCAAAGGGAAGGGCAGCATACTGGTAGCAGGCCTGGCTGCATTGGAAATGAAGTGTATGGCAATGCGGAAATAGGCTTCCTTAAGATCAATAATGGTAAACTGGTCATGGGGGTGAATCAGGCCTATGATCTCCTGTAACGTGGTCATGTGAAACATTTACCACCATTTTTCTTATCAACTAGGAAATAATAAGACAACCAGCTTTCGTCTCATGCAATGGGAAATGCTCAATGGCCCCTTTATTCAAAAGTTGAAACACCTCCTGTTGCAACTCTGGGGGTGACATGAACAGGGAGAAATTAGAAGGACAACCAACAGGTGAAACATGAAACTGAAGGAAATATTCTTGCTGAACAATGCTAAGAACCCAAGTGTCAGAGAGAACTGACTCCCAAATGGGAAGATAACATGATGAGCAGGGTAAAATAAGAAGAGACTGGGGGGATAGGCAGGATTGAGGCTTATCCTGGCCAGAGGCCTCTTGAGACAAAACAGGACCCTGCCTGGAGCGGGGGCAACCCTGCTGCTTCTTGCCCTGGGGGTACTGAAATGAAAGGCACAAGGAAGAATCAGACTAGGATGGCCAGTACTGATAGGATTGTAATGACTGTGAATGAGTTGTGTGTCTCAGGAAGTGTGAGGTTTGTGGGTCTGGGTGGGTGGACCAGTGATGCCTTGTGCTGATCTTGTTCTTTACCATATGGTCTAGGACAGGGCTATTTTGGGGCAGGAACGCACAGGAATGGAGTTCCGGCTTGCTTCAGAGTTGGCCACGCCCACTACAGCCAAAACCTCTGTCCGAGGGCCAGCTTGCCCGGGCGCCCCACAGCTGTGGGGTGCCCGGGCAAGCCAACAGAAGACAATTTAAACTGCCTTCCCTTCAAGGGGGGGGGGTTGCCCGAACTCCCCGCAGCTGCAGGGCGCCCAAGCAAGCCAAGGGAAGGCATGGGGGTGTGGTCTAATATGCTAATATGCTGCACTGTCAGGGTGTGACCTAATATGCTAATTAGTTTCTGCCGTTGGGTGTGGCCTATTATGCTAATGAGTTCCTGCTGGGCTTTTTCTACAAAAAAAGCCCTGGTCTAGGACATCATCTGTCTGGGAGCTGAACAGATTCCTTCCCTCTATTTTCACTTTAGTATTGTTGGGAAGGGCAGTGCAGCGGAGCCAGGAGTGGTGCCGCATGACTATGGCAGAAGCAATGGATCTACTGCATGAGTCTGTGATATATTGTGCAGCATTTAGTTGCTGCATTCCCAGCTTGAAGCCTTCTGCCTGTAGGACTTTGACCACAGCTTTGTGTTCTTCTGGAAGTGAATCAATGAATATAGCCGTTCTTTCCCACAGGAACATTTGGTAGCGCTCATAATGGCATTAATGCCATGTATAGTGTTAGGGCCAATGACGTGTAGATGTTGTGGCCAAGGTCATCAAGCTTCTCGGGCCAATGGTGGGGAATGAGGCCTGGAGCACTGAAGGGCAAAAAAGAAATCACAGTCCTCCCCCAAAACCTTGTACATGTGGTCAATTTTCTTGGCAGCAGGGGAGGATTTGTGGAAGTTATTTACTTATAAAGACCACAGGGTTTTAAAATTCAGACCCTTAAATATGCAAATTTACTAGCTTTACAGTCCCAACAAGTCTGGGTGATAAATTCAGTGGTGCGTGCATTTGTTACTAAATGAATGGAAAAACAACCTGAAAAGTCCTATTAGCATTCTATGGTAATAAAAAATTACCATAATTGGTAAATAAAAACAAAATGTCACTCATCCATTATTCCCCTCTTTCCTCTTTTTGCCTTCTCTACCAGCAGCCACTGGTGCAAACACAGTAAATACAGCCATGAAGGAAGGAAGGAGACTGTTCCCATAATAGGAATGACAGCAACACAGACAAACCTGTGTAATACTGACTGAAATGATGTTTTTGAAACAAAATGAAAATACAGTTGTTGCACACCTGTGATACATCGATTTCAAATTAAGCCTGCTTGTGCTGTTAGATAGGACACAGCAAAAAAAAAAAAAAATCAGCCATAAAAGCAAACTCCTATTTTTTTTTAGAAATTTAGAGACACTACATTTGACTGATATAGAAGGTAGAAATAACTGATTCAGAGAGAGAGAGAGAACACCACCCATATTTATGATAGAGAATTTAATTTTTATACATCACTCTGAGACATCTTTTACATTGACAAAGGAACCTCAACAAATACCTGTCATATCAAAAACTGGATATAAGTAATATTTATTATTATTGATAGTAACAGGAGACCTTTGGCTGGAATCCAAGCACCCACACTACAGCTTTCCCGGCTCCCCTTTCCACTGTAGCAGCTCACCCTCACATTACACCACTCCTGAGAATCAAGGCCCCACCCACAACTGTATGCAACGTAGTTGAGGGGAAACGGCTCATGATTCAGTCAGCCCTGCACATCACTCCTATTGGTCACAGGGCTCTTGGGATCCCAGCTCAAGAATCAGATACTCAGCAATGCTTAAATGAGATACAAGTATAAGTAACAGGAGTATGAGAAACATCTTACTTGTCTGATGTCAATGAATGCTAACTGTAAGGTTTCTCCTTGGAATCCAGGTACTGGCTCAGAACTTGCGAACACTGTAAAACAAGCAAGTAAACAATAAATGATTCATTTTATTTGAGTCAGAAGTCAAAAACTAAATTCCTTTCCCACTATATTGTGGGTTACGGTCACATATTAGGTTACTGGCACTTGAAGGACAATCTTTTAGGGGGGAAATAATAATAGCATATATTCACTGATATACATTCCAACGTTTTGGCATTGGATATGGCACAAGAGATCATGTGTTCCAACAGTAGCATGTAATAACTTTGCGGAGGAAGGGAATTGCCTGAAAGTGAATGTTTACTCAAATATCCTGGAACAATACCAGTTCCAAGGGTGTCAAGCTGCTTATTCTTTTATTTTTCAAGAAATAATTAAAATAACTCTTGAAATCCTTTCCCCAATTAAGATCAAATGACAGAGGTACAATTAGACATAAACACGAGTGTACATGCATGCAAATGTACAAAAACTTCAGAAAGATCAGAGCTATACAAATGTGATCATAATTCTTTAAACAATGTAATTTTTTACAGGGGCTGTGATAGCCAGCTGGGAATCTCAGGATATTACAAGAAAAGCAATCAAACCATCACAAAATCCGCTAGACCAGGTGGTCCTTTCTTAATTTAATCTGGAGAGTTCTTTCCTCTTGTTGAGTTCTTCCTTGCCAAAACTGACATTCTACTGATTCTTCTAAGTGAGAGCCTCTATCTTCAAGTCAGGCCCACAGCTACCACGGGGACCCACAGGGCCCGGCCCCCTAGCAGTTTTTATGGGCCCCTCCATGAGCCATGACTCCCCCTCCCCCCCAGGCCACCTCAACACGATTTCCTGTCAGCAGGGAGGACGAGGGTGGCACAAGCAGCAGCAGCAGTGAGGCGGGGCTTAGAGAGTGGCCTGGGCAGGCAGCAAGTGTGAATGGCGTGAGGAGAAGCCTCCAACTTGGGCTTCCAGCAGACGCTTGCTGCACTGCCTGGAGCAGCAAGTAAGCCCAGCCAAGCCAAGCAAGGTGGTCGCCTCCTTGGCCCTGGCCAGGCATGCTCGGCTATACTCCATTGTGCCAGCAAGCCCAGGTGTGGCATCTTCTTGGCCAGCCCTGGTGTTCCGCACTTCTCCTGGTCCCGGAAGGGAACCAAGGGTGGAGCGCAGGCTGCCTCTGCTGCCACGCCGCAGGAAGAGGAACTGGGGCTCCTCAGGGAGAGAGGGAACCAGAAGCTCTGCAGGGAAGGCCTGCCCTTGCCGGGGAGGGGAAGCTGCAACCACTGGGCATTCCCCCCCTTGCCCTGAAGCTGGGGGGGGGGGTGCAGGGCTTCCTTAGAAGTTCTAAGGAGTTCCACAAATTAACTCAAAGTTAATTTAATTAACTTTGTTTTTAATTGGCTGGTGGCCCCCCTGAGGCCCCTCCCCAAAAAAATCCCTAGCTACAAGGCTGCTTCAAGTATAGGTGAGAGCTTCTTTCTTCACTAGTTCTGCCACCATTAAAAATAATACTCTTAAGTAATGATATATTGTGCACAGATAACAGGATTAAGATGACATAGCTACAAATCTTCAGGAATGTAGGTTA